TATCAATTTTCATATCGATAAAATGTGATTAAAATGACAGATATTGTAATAATAACAATTATCTATCTTTTTGCATAAATGTACCAAATGTTCATTGACTTCTTTTGCCCCTCAAATAGTTAGGATAATTATCATTTTCGAATATAAAGTGTGTTTAATATAATTAAAATCTAAAAAGCTTTACGCTGCATTTTGAGCGTACAGACACGATTCCTGCATTTTTTTTTTCGTGATAACGTTCTTTTCTATCGTGTCGGCAGACGATCCATACTTCGTATGCATATGTATAGAAATTCACTGCATGCTTACGTCAGCAATCCTTTTGTACTTACACTTGCGCGTGTCGCACTGTCACTACACTGATAGTAGAAAAAAATTAGGCAAAGTCACATCGTATACAGGCGTGTCGAAATTTTTCGCAAAATTCAGTATAAGCAAATTCACATTTTACAAATCCCTAAAATTGTTTCGGAAATCTTGATATCTTAAAAACAATTACACATCAGAATTTTTCTGATTTGTAAGAATAACCTTTTAATTTCTGTTTAATTCGAGCATTGCATTTGTTCATGATTAGCAGGAAATGAAAAAATCCTACGACAAGAAATTTTAAAACAATAAGAGAAAAGTATTTAATAAAAAAATTTTATTACAGAGTTTCATAAAAAAAGTTTTACTAGAAGTTTTACTTAAGAATTACTAGAATTGTGAAGTTATCCTTAAGGATCAAAGTAACTCCTGTCTGTCCTTACATGGCAATTAATAACTGCCACTATTAACCGTACGTATTCTGCATTATAACTTAATCATTTCTTCTGCCATACATAACAAAGTTCAGTCATATATAACAAACTCACGGATGTGTATCATCATTCCCGAAAATTATTAACGGTAACTTTCTTTAAAGAGGAGAGATGCGAAGGGTTAATAGGAAATTTAATATGCGTGACGTTGCGACGAATAAATAGCGACGTGCAGTGGCTTATCTCATTGTTGCGTTGTATAGATATATAATTTAGGATACTTAATGCTTGGAACGAACCTGCGTATATATCTGTTTCTTCGGGAACTCTTTTTCCGAAGTTCTCAGTTAAATCATTAGAGATATTGTCGTTCGGACGTTATACATTGCTATTTGTGACGAATTATCAAGCTGACACTTTATTTTTTTCTCTTATCTATCAGTGTGTCGCCGTTCGCCGTGCTGATTCGCTCAGATGCCTGACTTTCCAAATTCCAGGTCGCGGTGTTTCGAGTCGCGGTGCTTTTGGTATTTCGCATTATCATCGAACAGGAGAGAGCGAACGTTCGTTAAGAGCGTACGTTGACGCGAATAAGCGTAATCGATCATCACGAGCATTGGTAGATCGAAAACCATAATGAACGTAGCGTTTACTGTGAAACGGTGCTATCCCAATGGAAAGAAAGACACTGCGCGGTGGGACATCTCGCTTCGAGATATATAAGCGTTAAGAAAATATATTATTGTCAAAAACGCGGCTATCACTTCGCTTTCATATTTCGCGTGTTGAAGCATCTCTGTCTATGAACGTCGGCTACATAAGTATACCTTTCTTTTTCCTGTTTCTTTCTTTTTCACTTAGTACGCTTCATAAATTGTATTGCACCATCGAAAAGAGACTGTCATAAGTTTAATTATTTTAGTTACTTTTGGAAGTAGCATATTAGTTATTTGTTAAATTAATTTAAAAAAAGATAGAGATTAATTCTTCAGAATCATTCATTATGGAAGTAATATCGAATATTATTTGCTCGTAAGTTGTTGAAACCTTTTTACAAATTAATTTAATACCCTTTAAGCCCAAAAATGAAATATCTTCGTCGTATGGCAGTACTCTATCGAAGGCGCGACGTGAACTGTTTACTTTGAAAATAATGTAGTCAAATTCTGAAGATCTCTGAAGGACACAGAAATACATTACGTCGGATTAGCGTAGTATCTCTTGTTTGAATTGATCGTACTTCAAACTTTGATTTAGATTATCTTTGTAGTAAAACTGTCCACATTTCTGATTATTTCTTGATTCGAGAAATCAATGGCTCTATCAAAAATCACAGTTTTTGCCTGCAAAAGTAATATAAGTTTATGTTAATCATACGTCACGCGTCATATGTACAAGTAATCGCATCTATTAAATCATCGAGGTTTCTCGCATTCTCGACAACCTGAACTCCCATCGCTATTGTGCCATCCTTTCGAAATAAACGCGCATTCATACCGTGATAATACGGTAGGCTCGTTAAATGTAACGTAATCGATCGGATTAGAGAGCAACAGATTTTATTGTCTGTCTCTGTGTACCTACCCGCAATCATCGTTTCGTCCGACAAATGTTTCAGGCCGCAATCGCCTTTCATGTTTTTCTTCGTATTTGGAAAGAATAGTGATCGAGTTGCCCGGATCTCGAAACACGCGCGTTTCACCCGGATTATCTTCTTAAAAAAAAAAAATGCTATCTATCCTTTCTCTCGCTCTTTCATCCGTTTTATCTTTTAGCGCATGTACGTACAATCAATCGGTATAAGGTTTTTAATTGATTTTTTCTCGGTTATTCACGATGGTCAAGCTTTTAAATACTTTGAAAGGATTAACAAGTCCAAATAAAAATTGCTAAATCCAGATTGATTCATTAAAGAATGCGTGTGCTTAAATAAAAGAAGAGCATTTTAATTCGTATTTTTAAACTTCTTATTTATATATTATGATAACAGTTTGTTTGCATATTTTATTAATGAACTGATATTATTATTTAACGATAGTACTTGAATATAAATCAAAATTTGGAATAATTATTCTAATATCTTTTCTTAAAAAATTGTTATAATAAATTTTTATTCAGCTAGTATGGTTTTTTTTCATACTTTTACTCTTGTAAAAATTATGAAAGAAATTGTAAATTGAAAAATCCTATTGTAGCTTATTTTACTTTAGTGATTTAAATGTCATTTTAGCAAGTAATAAATATGATATCATTAATTTATGAACAGCTTATTAGAAAATGACAAAATTCAAGAAAATCAAAGAAAAAATAATAGATTATTTCCACATATCAGATAATCTTTTCGAGCATAAATAAGGACTGATTTGCAATGCAATTTTTCTTAATCAAATATTAAATATTTGCCAAGTATGCAACTTTTCATCAAATGTTTAGTATTTTATTAAGAAAAGTTTTTTAATAAAGTGCTGATATATGAAAAATGCGTGTACATATATGTATACATATGTACATACATGCATACTTTTTTATAGAAAATAGAAAATCTAAATCTTTTATAAAAATTCACAAATTATGATTAACAAGACAAATCCGCAGAAGAATCATGCTGTACAAATAGATGAATATAAACAAATAATCATTGATTTTCATATATTACACATCAGATAAAACATATCATCTTTACGAATTACTCCAATCAAATGCGTGCGTATTTTTTTTCTTTTAATGTGCGTCAAACGCGTTTGATAGTACGCCGATTGATAGTACGCCATAGATGCGTTATTATCACTTCGATCTCTCGATCCCTCCCGCGACTCGCGCGTATTTAACTTCCGCTTCGTGTCAGATCGGATTACGCGCGCGTGCATGCGTGCGTGCGTGTGAGGGGCGTGTATGTGTATGGAGCACGGGCAGCGGAGAGGACGTATGTACATAATTATATCTAGAATGTATTTCATGTATGTTTTCTCTTCTTTTTCGTGGTAGCAACATCACGTATAATATATAATAATCCACGTGTACGATTTATCGTTTATACTTGCGACCGTGTGTTTCTTTATATGCCACTATGGGTCGCTAGGTACTACCTATGGATCTATGTCACGCGTGTTAACAGCTTCATTTTCTCTTACATAACACGTCTAAAGGTACCATAACGTAATGCGCACATAGCTTACACGCTCCTGAATCCGGACGCCGACGTGCAGCGAACGATACTGATTGTGCGACAGTGGAAACACGTGCCATTTTTTCATCTTTTAAGGGAATCACATTATACAATCCCTCCGTGTTTATGAATGAAGAAGTGCTCGCGCTTCGCGTTAATCACCCTGGTTGAATTGTTCCCGGCTTGCAAAGCAAGGGCTTGCCAAGCAGAACGACAAGTCGCAATAATGCCACTTTAATGTTCAAATGAACCGTAATTAATCGAATAAAAGTGATTTTTTAATAATCATTTTTTGGAATCACCATTTTAACGTTATAATGATTTTCTGTTCTGCTTAGATTCTTTTTCTCTTTACTAAAAGCCACTGCCACACACCTGACTATAGGGCATCTGTTAATTATCATAATAGCATCTATAGTCATTTTTGTAACGAGGGATTGTCAATTCAGTCATTATTATAATTCAGCATTAGCTCTGTTTGAAACTTCACCAACGAGCCCATGGATAAACAAGACTGTTAGATTATTCTTTTGATAATTAAGGAACAAATATCGTACGAATATCTTTCCAACGAACATCTTCTTGCACGCTTAGATAACTTGCTTTGCTTAAATTGTTTCCACAGGAAATGTCGCAGTAATTTGAGCGGTTAGACTTTCAAAACTCTTTTTCAACCAGGGCACTCGTCCACTCGACGGTGATCGATTACAGAAACGTGGCAGCACAATTATCGATCAGTTCACGCTACGTGCGAAAGCGATAGTATCAATCACTCTTCAGCGTGTCATCAGCGTGTGCCCGTTCTAAAATTGCTAAACAATCAGGGAAATAATGGCAATGAGAGGGCAACGGCAAGGACGGGAGACGTGTGTGTCACTACATTAGATTTGTGCGCGTCTCTGCGCTGTAGTACAAGCGGTAAAAACACTCGAAGTACAATACCTTTCGTGGACGTCGCATTTCAAGAAAATGAGCGACGTAAAAGGAATATCGTATAATAATAATATAATAACATACATATATATATATATATATATCATGTAAACATATCGTGTACTAATATATATATATATATTCAAGACTTTCTCGCGAAGATGTTCAAAGGGGCGATGGAAAGTTAAATAACTTTTAAATTCTCCGCTCCGTAAAATTATCAGGGGAAGGAGGGAATAAAGATTAGGGGGTACGTAAAAGTCTAAACGAAGCTCGGTTGATTGTTCCAGGTAGCGGCGGGTCACGCCTCCCTCCCCCGTCGTTTGAACATATTTATTTTAACATTACGTTACGTTTCCGTTATATCTAAAAATTTCAAGTATTCGTCTATAAGATTAGTCCGAAGGAGCGCGAGGTGTATCTGTGTATATAATGCGTGTACGTATGTGCAAAATTCGCGGAAGAAAGTCTCTCCTCTCAGTTTTCCGGCCATAAAGCCGAAGCCATTACTATTCGCGGCGAGACTCGCGCATTCCGCTCGAAGCCAAAGACTTCCGATGTCTCCTCAATCGTCTACTTGCGCTACTTACGCGCGAAATCTTCAACACGCCGGTCGTTCTCACGAAGCCTTAGCTATAGAGTAAATTTGGTATGTTGGTGCAATTCGCTTTCGCGATCTCACAATGTCGTACATGCCGCGGTCGATCAGTCGTCGAGCTTTTGATTTTTTCTCTCGACGGTTGCGATTATAGTTTCATGGGACATGAAACGATTTCTCGCTGCAATCCTACGAAGTCGAGGAACTTGAGTGGCGGATCCATTCTACTCCGTCAAGGATCCTTCGTTATCTTCGAATCTATATCCTTCTTTTGATCTCCGAACTAATTTTTCGACATTAAGATCGACACGAATTCTGAAACACGAGTAATTAATATACATAATTCAATGTATAATTTAATAATTTGTGATAACAATTATGCAAATGTTATATGTATTTAATTCGAATATCAGATTTATAAAAAATTTAATATTCACATCCTATATTGTATACTGATTATTAATTGAAAAGCATATAACACGCATATAGTTCACTTTATTATATATTATTATTATATATAGTTTTTTATTATTTTTATTATTATTATTTTTAACTGTTTATATCTGTTTCGCGCCATATTTTACAATTTTGCACCGTACCGTAATATTAAAAATACATGTATACATTTTTTTTATATTTTTTAATTCTCTTTTGTAGCACGTTCTATATATAATTATTATGTCAAGTTATAAATGTAGTTTGTAATTCGCTATATTTAAACCCTTATTATCTCATAAATGACTTAAAATAAAAATATAGCAATGACTGTTTTATTTAATTTTTTTGAGAACTTTCTTACAGTATTTTGAGACGCGAATTTTAGGATTCTATATACATATCTACATTCATATTAATATTTTTTTAATAGCTGCGTCATAGAAATGTGTATATGAATGCTTAGGATGAATTATAACACACAAACACATTAAGAAACATATAGGCATTACCTTCGTAGTTGACCATTCCATCGCCATCTAAATCAGCCTCCTTGATCATATCATCGACTTCTTCTTCAGATAATTTTTCACCAAGATTCGTCATTACGTGTCGCAATTCCTTCGAAGATATTAAGCCATCGTTGTTCTTATCGAACACTCTAAAAACGAAACGAACAAAGTGCCAAATTGCCTTTTGCCAATTGCCAAATTTGCTTTTTGCCTTCTTTTTTTTATGAAGCTGTAAAAGTGCATACAGAACCGGATTTTGGAAATTGATCTCTAAAATTGATTTCTAAAAAATTATAATAAATAAAATTATATGCACTCCAATTACACTACAGTATACACATCAGGATGAGATAGCAGAATGAATTTTTATTTTATCTTTTTTTTCAAAAAAATCTCCGTACGAGTTTTCAGGTGACTTTCTTGATTATGAATATCGCAATTAAAACGCTATTCATGCAGTATTTTAGTCATAATTTCAGCATAAAGAAATCCATCTTCAACTAAAAGTCTCTTCTCTCCTGTCAACCCTTAAAAGCTCTATTCTTCCCATGAACAAAAGTTGCTTCGGGACGTTCTTTCAATGTAATTGTCTCAGAAGTAATTAGGTACTTGGAGTTCTTATGTATAGAACTTATGTAGAGAACTTATTACCGGAACGCCTCGCGAAGTTCGTCTTCTCCGTCGGCGCTTTTCATCTTCTTCGACATCATCTGCAGAAATTCATTAAACTCGATGGTACCGTTTCCGTCTTGATCCACTTCATTCACCATATCGCGCAGTTCTGTCTCTGAAAGAAATGTATTAACGTTTGTTTTATTCATTGCTGTTCCGGATATTCACTCAGATGCATCCTGAATGTATTCGAGATTCGCGAAGAGCAAATTACTCACCTGATGGTCTTTGACCGAGAGACCGCATGACGACCCCTAATTCCGCCATCGTAATCGTGCCATCTTCGTCCTTGTCGAAGAGCATGAATGCCTCTTTGAATTCTGAAATAACGGAGTTTCTCGTCGTTACCGTACTCAAGACAAATAGTTATTGTCTGATGTATTTGAAACGATTTCTCAGCGTCTTATTATGCACTGATTAATTGTTAATTGCAAAGCTCGATGAAAACATGTAATATATAAGTACATGAATAAAATTTGCTTTATCTTTATTATTATATTAATTGTTTCTATTAATAATAAAATATTTTTCATAGAAATTAAAATGTTCTTTTTAAATATTCAGTTCCATATTAAATCGATCATTGTAAAAATTTGACTTCAAATTCATCATCAACAGCCAGCAAAATTTACGAAGTTTTTAGAATAAGAAGTTTTAAATTGGATTGACACAAAAATTCGTGCTTCAAAGTATATGGATTGACACTTTAATGACAAACTTTGACCTTCCCAAATCTCTTCAATTCTAGTCTTAACTTGATTTATGATGTCTTATCATAAGGTCATTTGACACATAATTCAGTTCCAAAATCGCGAAGTCGAAAACAGGAGATTTTGTGATTACTCTTTCAAATAGATATAATTTATTATATATATATAGATTTTTATACAAAAAAATTTCCTTAACCCTCTACTGCTCTCGTAAGGCAAATGGTCATTTCAAATTTGATTTTTTAATTGCATGAATGTGGCAAATATTTTGAAACTTTTTGACTTTTTTTACAATCTTTTTTTTATATTATATTATATTTGTGTGGCTGTTTCTCAATTTTGTTAAAAATAATTTTTATTAAAAATTAAATTTTGAAGATGTTAACGCGCGTTATATCTAAGTGTTGGCGAGAGCAATATCGTAATATGTATGAGTCGACGCAGCTGTTGCCAAACTTGAACTTTACTATAACAAAATAAATCAATCGATATCGCATCTTTTTCTTCTTAACTTTGTTAGTACAAAGGTAAATTTTTATATTAATTTGATAGTAAATAATTGTTTAATATGATACGTAAAACATCAAAGAGTAAAACTAAATTTTTTATATAATAAAAAAATTTTTGCGTTAAGAAATGTTAGTGTAATTTTTATTTATTATAGAAAAATAAAAAGAGATCTAATACATCGAGATGAACTAATAAAAAGATTTAAAACGTAAATATAACTTATTTTAAACAGCTTTAATTTATTCTTATTTTTTATTATTATTCCTTTTATTATTAATTTTTTTTTTAACAATTATCTGCTCTGAGAAAATTGAAATGACGTGACCTGAGAAAATTATATGGCAACGATGCACTGAACAATAACATATACACAGGCATGGTGCGGCGTTCATATGAGAGTATGTTCATTTG